CGAGAACCGCATGTGTTCCTACTGGATTGACAGGAGGTTCTGCTGAAAGCTGTGAAGTAAGATAGGCCAATGCTTCTCGTCTTTGTTTGTCTGACTTTGAAGAAGAGGCTAGTGAGAGATTGTGTTTGAATTGTTGGACGACATCAGGTGCGACTGTTGAGAGTGACTGATGCCCCATCACAATAGCTATGGCCCATCAGTAAATTGAAGGGAAACACACACAAATCTCCTCACCCTTTGACTTGAAACTTGTATCTGTGAAATTGGACGCTTTTGGCTTATCCTTGCCCACCTTGAACTTCGGTTTCTACATCTTGTTGGTGAGTTACACTTCAACAATGCCGTAGTGATTGAAATCATACCTGGAAGTCCTTTTGCTTCTCGCGCTTCTTCTTGTTGCTGGAACCCATGATGTCGGTTTGTCGAGGTCACTAGAACATATGTATAAAAGTAACAAGTAAAGTTCGGATACCGCACAATGGCAGGTTAATCCCTAAGATAATCTTTGTTATACGGAATACTGAGGTTTGGATTCTTTGATCTTCAACTGATAAGATCTACCCTCTTTCCCTGTTGGGGTTCTAAAATTTTGGCGGTGTCGGATGGCAGAACCTCCATTGTGCCCCGCGGCGTCAGCTCCGACCACGCTAGACCAATACATCACGACAACCAGCGGTATCGAACATCACCATATTCAGCTACTATAAGAATGGCTGAATCTTCACTGGTATGCTGAGAACAGAGGCTTGAGATACTTTGCGAAGCTAATAAACGGACAGGCTAATGGCCATGATGCCCTCGAGGAGAAGCTCGGCCGATTGTCAAAGAAACCTGGTGTTAAAGCCAGCATCATTCTTGACCGAACCACCGGCGCTATCCTGAAAACCAGCGGCCAAATCGATGCTCTTCAGACCTCTAAGACACGAACCACATCTACTGCAACATCGTTTTCCAACGAAGGTCCTGCACTGGAGGAAAGCGAAACGAAAGGAGTCGAGCAATTCGCCGCGATCGTCTGGAACTATGTGAATAGCTCCGGAAGCTTGGTTCAGGAGCTGGATGGTGAAGTGAGGATCATCACAGGCGTCACAGGCTCATAGCTAACAATCAGTAGGATGAGCTGAAGCTTCTCCGCTTACGAACAAGGAAGCAAGAATTGGTCATTGTACCCGATCCCAAGTATTTACTTGTGGTTGTGCATGACACACCTCCGGCTTGAGCTACGAAACACGCTTATCTAAGTCTTACCAATGTCTGGGCGTCCCAGATCTCCCACTTACCGACTTCCGGTGAAGGGCTAGGGGAGCGATTTGCCTTGATTCGAGAAAGATGTTCTGTTTCATCGACTGATCAACTGGGAATGTGACGGGCTGTGGAATCGACAAGATGCAGGGGATTATTACTGGTGTGTTGCATTCGGGATGGTCTTGAGTAAGGCAAGACATCTTGAACGAAATTACGATTGAAACACATGGGCTGGAGTCTGCGCATGCATCTCTGCCATGTCTCGAAGGGAAGAAAGAACAAGAGAGGCATATCAACATGGGTCAAAAGGGCTGGAGTCTGCGCCCTCGCGGCTATCCCGTTACCCGATTTCCTTTTACTGTGCTTCCCGTCACTACGGGACTATCACGGGGTCCGCCAATGTCCGGCATAAACAATTGGGATGGGAAAGGCAAATAAATCCGCCGCTGTAGGTAGCCGCGTGTTTCGAAGGTTTAATGGGCCGAACGATTACAGCTGGATCGCGCCCCTTGTTTCACAAGGGCCCCATTGGCGACGAAAATGGTGGTGGCCGGGGTGGAAACGCTAGGAGCCGTTGGAAAAGAGCACGGAAAGGCCTCATGGGGGTCATGGCAATTGAGGATCACACATAGATATCGGCTACCAACACAATTGAGCAGCATTTCCGGTCCAAACTTGTAACGGACAAAGTTGCGAATGTGAGCTTCTTCTGCTTGGTCAGGACCGAGCAAGGGTTCATACGGGGCAGCGCAGGAAAGACGGAACGCACGCACAAAATACGTGCGCACGTCCTTATCCTTGACCAGTATCCGGGATGTATGCGGATAACGAAAACGCTCAACAATCAGGGTTACATACTCTGACTTGGGAGAAGGTTGCAAGGACTGCAGGGCTGATACATGGTCAAAGGCAAACACGTCAAGTATCGATCATACATATGTCTGATCCCAAGAAGTCCCAAGTCTCGGATCATCAGAACTAATGTTGCTGACCGAGCGCGATATCGATCTAAGGTTCCGATATGATTTGTACTATTTTCGGCAAGATAACATTCCGAAACTAACGAGGGATTTCCAACTTGACCGTCTGTTCACCTTGGAAGGCTTATTTACACCTTGTCTTGTCTTGTGACTTTCACTTTCACTTTACGATGCCAGGTCCTTGCCGAAGCGGCGAATTCTCCCTGGTTCGCTTCTCGCAACGGCGGTTTCGAAACACGTCGTCTTACTCCCTCCACTTTTACACATTGGCTTCCGCCAGAGAGGCCCACAAACTCCCGCAACTTCCAGCATCAGGATTCTCGAGCTTGAGGCTAAATGGCCTCCCTCCGGATGACAGGAAATGAACCCTGGTTACGTACAGTACAGTGCTGCCATTCTACGATAACATCGACCGTAGCAGTTCATGTGCCTACCTTAGGTACCTATCTTGTTACATAATGAACCCTATAGTCGGGTCTTGACGTACACCACAAGGGCTGAGTATAACGTTCTTAGCATGTTTCCCATGTAACACACACTAGTGAGTCTAATTTGATGTTTGCCAACATTCGTACGGCAGACAAACTCTGGCATGATTGATAGATTGCGTCCACCTTCTATTGCAAGGATCAATGCTTGCCCACGTATGCCGGGGGCCTTTGAAACTTCTGTTCTAACCATTGGGTATTCCGCACTCCGCTGCTCTATAAGACTGGAGCGTGCAGTACTGTACCATACAGTATGTATATAGACCGGGTCCTGGGTGTTATGCCGGCTTCCATATTGGATTCGGACCTGTGTCTACTCACATCGATTCGAATCGCAGATCTTCCGTTTTACCCATATTACCCAGGCTTGGTACATACAAAGAGCAATCCACGATCGTCCAGGTTGGTTCAAGGCCCACGCTTCCAAGGTCTCCTGGATATCCACGCGTGGAGACAGCTGCATGTTGCACGAACAAGAAAAGAAGCGGACACAAAGAGAGACTCGGGAGAGAGGGGATTATATCTGCTGCACGGGATTGTGCACCAATGACCTGAGACAGCCGTTGAACTCCTGGAAAGGGAAAGCATTGTGTGCTTAGCATATTCATACGTACGTACGTGGATCAGCCAACAAAGACCTATAATTGTATAGCAATACGGGTGCAATGGCAGCAATGGCAGCAATGGCTCCATTCTGTTCTCCGTCGAGTCATCTTTTTGAACCTCGAGTCCCCTTTCGTATTCCAATACAAATGCCTGAGGAGTTGTTGAAAGCTGGATGTTCTGGCGCCAGTTCATACCGCAGTCCAACAACCCACACAACGCAACGCAGAAAAAGGAGCACCTAACTGACTGACGGAGGCAGTAGTTAGGGAAACGCACCAGTCAATCAAACAAGAGGCTGTAAAACAACAGCCTGTCTCCTTTATCCGGAGTGGGCCACGGTGCTTGTATCCAAGTCGACCTGCCCACGATCAACAATATCAATCTGAACATTCGGCGGCAGATGCCGGCGTTGCGCTGATACTAACGCGGCTCTCACATGGAAGACCTGCGATCCATCGCAACAAGATCGCAGTATGCCATTGAGCAAACCAAGGCCGTCTCCACGGCCAACCGCCACGAGCAGTTTCAGCGACACCGCCGACAAATCAGGGCCAAAATTGACTGATGAGAATAAGAATGCGCCGTCGCAAAAGCGACATGAACGGCAAAAGTCCAGGGGACTACTGTTACCCCAGAGCCAGAGCGGCGCCACATCTACAGCCACCACCAGCATAATACCGACCAAATCTCCAATCGCTGATGGAGATGCCCAAAACGAAAACGATGAGAATGATCCCATTGACGGTTCTGGTGCCATTGGCGCATCTGCATCAACCGGGGGTCGTTTTACAAGGCCAGACTATCTACTCCATGGTTTGCTTACACGAGCGAAGAACCGTGTAAAAGATCGGACTGGACGAGACAAGGAGAAGGGCAACGGAGATGTAAGTCAAGATTTTGTTAAGTTATTTACTGGAATTATTCCTGATGAGACACCCACCCACCATCTCCATCATAACTGCAAGTCATCCATTCCATTCCCTGATCAGTGCGCATTCTCAGAGACAATGGAAGATCAGACCACTGCCCAGCCCAGCCCAGCCCAGCCAACCACTGTCGTGTGCTAGGACGATCTTCTCTCAGGTCATGCGATTGCCGTTCGGGGCCCTGAATTGGCCCCTCAATGGGCTCAGTTCGGGGGCGCCTTTGACCGATGGTATTATCCGGCTTAGAGATGTCATGATGGCCCAATGTCCGGTCATTCATGTCAATTGACTCGGCGACTTTTTTCCCTTTAAGCACTACCTGTATTTTAGTTTCTTGTGACCCTGTCTGTACCCCCAATTGCTTCCCTCCCCTCTCTACTGTACTGCACTTCTGTCTCAGAACTAATTGCTCCCTTCTTCACTGCAAACAGACAACATCAACTGTTACAAGTCCAACCAAAGCCTTCTCTTCCTCCCCGCATTCTCCTCCGCCACGCGCCGCTCCTCCCGACCGAGGCTTCCGTCGTAAAGCCCCACCTCGAGCTTCTACAGGCAGATCTCAAGGTACTAAGACGCCTTCATCGTCACAGTCGCCGTCACACTCACCACCACGGGCTCTCACTTCCCCGCGTTCACCACCGGATCAGAACAAGCCTCTTCCTCCTCCTCCTCCTCTGCCGAACTCGGGTGCCTTGTCCGACAAGGAAAATGCCACTTCTCCTACGTCCAAGCCCGTCTTGAAGCTGAATAGAATCATGTCTACTCTTACCGACTCAGAGATCGAGAAGCTCTTCTCTGGCGCCCCCCAGTACTTTGCCCGTAGCGAGGGGCACTGTTCTGGCGCCCCCAATCCCAGCGTCGCATTCCCCTTTGATGAGGCATTGGAGATTCGCGACCTCACTGATCATGTCCAAATTGAAGATAGAGCTTGGAGTGGCCTTACAGCATGGCCTCATCTAACTCGAGATCTCAATCAGGATGCCGCTGCCCGGGCACAGGCCGTTGACTCTCGCAAGGCCCATTTCTTCATCCGCTGTCGGGAACGTCCCAACATGCTGAGCATGCAAGGTCTAGAGAAGGGTACCATGGGCTTCTCAGCCGCCCTTGAACTCGCCGTTGGCGATGCCCTCGAAGAAGAGCAGTTCGGTTTCGACAGTGTTGGCAAAAAGGCCCATGCCATTGTTGAGGCACGTGAGCGCATGCTTTCCTCTCTGGGCTACCTGCGTCGTCTTCCTGAGACAGAGCTGCTGGATCGTCTCAAGCGAAACGCCGAGCTATACCGGGTCAATGATCTTCGAAAGAAAACTTCCGTCCAGACTTATCAGGATCTCTTTCACACTTTTATGCGGCCATGCAATTCCGTTGTCGATAAGCGCGACCACTATAGCTTGACCAACCAGATCAATGCCTTGATCAAGTGTCTTGGCACCGCCAACGTTTGGTTTGACTTCACCCATGTCGAATGGAGGATCAGATTGGGTCAGATTCTTTGGGGAGGTGAAGACAACGATGAACTTGAGGATACTTCTTCCATCCACGACGCTAGCAGTGCCAGCGAACGGGCCGAGGAGAAGTATTGGCTTCTCATGCAGATTCTTGTTGCGACCGAACTCCTCATCCGCTTAGATGCCATCACCGAGGGTGAAGAATATGGAGTCGAAGCTTTCCGACCTGTAGATGTTGTTCACTTCGAACGAGCCGCCACTCCCATGGTCAAGTGGTCGCTTCATCTTGCTAGGAGCTGGCTCGACAATATCGAGATTGAGAAAATCAAAGAGGATCCACCAAGCGACGCTTCCGAGACAAAGGGAACAGCTCCTCCTCCGCCTGCGACTGGCTGGCTAGGCGCCCTCTTCAGTAAATTTATCGTCCGTCAGCATCATGAAGACAAGACGACAGCAAGCCATACCTATACTATTAAAGGTCGCAACCCACAACAGCAAGTGGATGGGCTTACTCATTTCGCGAAGAAGCTACTCTGGCCCAACATCGACACATACGAGGGACTAATCGCGAAGAACGCTCGTCAATCGATTATTAACTCCGTGCCTAAGCCTGCTCCTGCGATAGCCTCAGAGAGATCATCAAAGTCTTCTGAGTCGAATGGATCTAAGCGGGGACTCTACTTTGGTGCTTGGGACCGTCCTGGTAGTCAGAAGGATAAGACTCGACCACAGCGACGAAAGCTTGCAGCGGCGCTTCACCCCTCCGGATGGCTTTCGAAATCTTATATCTATGGTCTGGTACTCCCTGGAGATGGCATGTGCCACTTCCTGATGGCCACACTTCTCGAGAACGACAGTAAAGCCATGGAGCGTTTGGGCTCGTTCGCTAATTTGTGTGGAGGGTTTGTGTATTCTGGCAAGAGCTTTTGGAGCACGTCATGCATCGTAGGGCGAGTTATTGCAGCAGGTCAGGGATCAGCCGAGTGCATGGGATGGGTTTCCAGCGACATTCTACCCCTGGGCATAGATGAAGGTTGGGTAAACATTGAAGTAGAAGAAGTGGCTGGTAAGTTGTTATATATTGTGAGAGGAGCATTAAGCTAATAGACAGAAGAGGACAAGGCCCATCTGGGCAAGAAAGCGAGACTTTGGGCAAAGAAACGAGTTGAACGAGAATCGTCCATCCTCGGAGATGCCGATGAATACTCCGTTTTCCCTGCCGACTTTATCATTCCCCACGAGAACAACTACTCTACGCCGCCACCGTTGATCAGCGTTACTTTACGGTCGCTTGAGCTTCTTTCTCCGGCCAACTCAATTCAGTCTACGCCCTTCACCAAGCTGACACCCGGTGCGAGTGTGAGCAACAAGGAACCCGAGTTGTTATCATTCCCAGCCAATGTCAACTTTGCGGTGTCGATTGACGGATTTACGGCCGAGAACTTCTCATTCTCCCTATCCTATGACATTAACTTTGTCACGGCGCACCCCTGCTCGCCTTCTCATCGTGTCCGATTTGTTAAGTCGCCATCAAGTCCGACAATCCAGCAGATCGATGTGTCTGGGTCAGATACGTTTCGGCAAGGTTCTCGACCCGCTCACAGAACAGGCAAGTCAAGTGGTTTCCGGTCAATGTCGCACAGCTAACTCTAGTCAGGTCATCCCTTGCACAAATACTATAATTACACTGTTATTCATATTTCGGAGCTTCTAAAGCGGCAGCATGCTCCCCTCTCGGAGCTTCTGGCTGTTCCTCAGACTCACCGTCGCTCGCCTTCACGTATGGGCAGCGAACGAGTGCTTGTTATTGACTGTATCACCAACTTGTCCGAGGTTCCTCAATCTCCCACGATTGAGAGACTTACCTCAAAGTATAATATTGTTCAGCGAAGAGGTAGTTTTCCTGCTGCAGAACAGATGCATTTCGAGTCCAGAAAACGACAGTTTGGCTCCGACATGGAAATACTGGTTCGTGCTCTTTGCGCTCAAAAGGGCTGGAACGCCATCATCAGTCGACGGAAGCGAGGATGTCTGGCTTGTGCTATTCGTGAAGCTGGCGCATTGCAGTGGAAGGTTATCATTAGGGTGGAGTAGGAAAAGCTCGCGTTGTAGCGAGCGTCTGATTCGGCGTTTATGTCGTGGGAGTATGCTGTGTTTGTGAAATGGGTACAAGGTTAAGCCTTTGTCTTTGGTTTGGTTGTCATGATACATGTCTAGTACGCTGGATGACCTGAGAGGATACCCGTTATGTATATATACACGAAAGAGATGTTTGACTTTATCAGTTCTAATTTTTGCCTCTGGGTAACGCCACCGTTGAAGAGCTTCTATAACGTGAAGATTCATGTTCTAGGCACTGTTAATAACTGAATCCTCGATCGTAGGCATATGAAGCCATTTCCTATTTAGGTAGGTCATTTCTACGCCACGCTACCCCACTCAAGGAAGCGCCACAACTCAAGCCGCCCCCGAGACGACAGGTCGCGCGAGCTCAGAGGTAATTGCGACAACCATTGAACAACCGTCATTCCTCCTCATTCACAGCAGCAAATATGTCGCCTACCAAGGACCCCAGAAGAGTTGACCTGAGTACGATTGCCCTATAAATCCACGTATCAGTCAATGGCCTCGCGCACGAAGCACAATTCAATCTTCACGATTGCGACATGAAGCTAACTGCGTGACAGTCGTCCCTTACCAAGAGCCCAAGCGCTCAGGTGACTCGACCGATCTCTCCTCAACGATGTCTACTACCCTACCTATGGCTGCTATGTTTACGCGCAACAAAATGGTTGGATGGTACGTTTGCTAAATGAGCCTTGAGAATGCGGAGAAGTGGCGCGATGCGATGCGATGCGACACGAATCGAAGCGAGATGGCCGGGTTGCTAACGAAACTCGATATAGGGCGTCAGTTGTCTTCTCTATCCAGAGCTGGCTCGGCGAGAGCGAGGACTCGAAGAAGAACTCCACCACTCCTGGGTACTTCTCCGTTGGCATGTCCAGTAAGGCGGCCCCAATATCGTTCGAGAATCGAGAATCCGTGCTAACGGGACGCAGTTATGGCTCTTGCTGTTACTTACCTCCCTATGTTCCTCCCTCCCGTCGGTGGCAAGCAGGCCTCTGGCACCGAGGCCCCTGCTCCTGTCCCACTGGCATAGTAAGCAAAGAGGTCGGGCTGTATACAACGGTGGGACTTGTGGAATGGAAAACCACCCTTAATTATTGCTGAGCGTTATCATTTTCAAGGTTCCAAATTGATCCGTACTCTGGGCGGGAATTGATGGACAGGATATCTGTATTATGAGTTCTTGTAAGAGTGAACGAGTTTTCAAGTCTGAAGAGTTCTGCATCTTTCACCCCAATCTCACGAACGATGACAGCCTGATTCCGTTCTACATGACGTGATTGTCGATGACTTCAATGCTATCCGGGAGTGAAAATGGATCAGAAGTGCGCATATTGGTCTTGATGGAAGCGCAACTATCATCACCAGGGCTGTTTGGTGTCAATGGTTTGTTTTATTACATACACCTTCAGTGCCTCTCCTTCACAAATCTCAAAAGGCAATGAGTGACATTAAGTCTCGGGTGGAAAAAGACATGAGTAAATGGTTAGATGATGCTTTCATGTTGATAAATCAAAGGCACACTGTGAAGAGCACGTAATAAAGATCATGACTGTGTTACGCACTCAAATTTATGAGAAGGAGGTTTCAGGCTGTAAAACGTTAAGGACGGCTCATTATTGGTGGATGCTGCTGATAGCTTCAAATGGAAGCTTTAGGTGTGATTTGCATAAAATGCACAAGATCATTTATCAGCACCTAGGGTCCAATGACAGTGGAAGGAGAAGGGGGACCTGTAGTACTCCGTACCGCGGGGCTACCTGCTTCACAGTGCTTTACGCGGGCCACGTATAGAGGGGTTGTGAACTAGTGACATAAATATCAGACATACCTTTCACCAGAGCCCGGACTGTTCAAGGCTCATTATTATGACACCCTCAATCCGTTGCCCGGGCAATTCATTATGTCATTTTTTGGACGATACCGAAACGATACACTCATGCAAAGTCCCTTGTACTCAACGGCGTCACCAAGCTGCACATACCCTCACGACGACACTCACCGCCCGGCGTTTGAATGAAGTACCCTGACGACCTTTCAAACTGGTCGCCCAACAAACATATCAGTAAACCAAAGCCCGGTGGTCGTTTTGCATTTAAACCACAAACGACCCTCTCATCAAAACAACAACCTGACTTCTCCAAACTTGGCCCGAGCCGTACGCATTCCAAGACACGTCTCAGCGATTCTACTGCTCTTCGAGACCTCGGCACTATGGTCAACGAACGGGCGCCTCCCAAGGTGCCTCTAAACTCCATCAACCCGAATGGAGAAAACACATCCCGCGAGTTGTCTCCCGACGATGATATCACTGCCCTTGTCCGTGGTATGAGTTCGCTCAAAGGCAAGGTTCGGGGAGACATGGGCGACCCCTTTAATCCCGCCGACGCAACCAACACGCCCACATTCGGTCATCCTACCAAGATGATGTCCTCTCGTAAGCAGAGAGCAGACCCTTTCATACGGCAGAAGACACGACCGGAACACCACCTCGATAGTCGAAGCAGCAACAGCAACAACGGTGCTAGAATCACAGGCCCCCGAGGCCCTGTATACCAGGATCGAAGACCACCACCAATGCCCATGTTCAGCTCGGGTGCACCCTCTGCACCACCAGTTGCATCCTCATATGCGCCAGCAAGACATTACGGCGAGGAGACTTTCTACACAGACCCTGCCAAGGCGAGTGCTGACTTGAAGGCTTTGCTTGAGGGTGGCATGGAGGAGGGCGAAGAGGAGGGTGGAGAACAAAGCCAAGCTGATCGCCCAAAGACATCAGAAGATCCAAAGGATGCCAAAGACGGCACAGTGGATGGCCTCAAGGTCAAGCTACTGCCTCACCAGGTCGAAGGAGTTGAGTGGATGCGAGGACGAGAACTTGGCCCTGTGAAGCGAGGAAAAGTCCCCAAGGGAGGCATTCTCGCCGACGACATGGGTCTTGGAAAGACTCTTCAGACCATTTCACTTATCCTCACCAACCAAAAACCATCCAAGGACGCACCTGGATGGAAGAAGCACTTTGAGAAGATCGAAAAGACAACTCTGGTGGTGGCGCCACTTGCTTTGATTCGACAATGGGAACACGAAATTAATGATAAAGTGGAAAAGACCCATGGCCTCAAAGTCTGCGTACATCATGGACCGAACCGTACCAAGCGATTTAAGGAGCTCGCTCTATATGATGTTGTCATCACAACTTATCAAATCCTGGTCTCTGAACATGGCAATTCCTCAGATGCCGAGAATGGGTTGAAAGCGGGATGCTTTGGCTTGCACTGGTGGCGAGTCGTTCTCGACGAAGCCCATACAGTCAAAAATCGCAATGCAAAGGCTACCAAGGCTTGCTACGCCCTCAACTCTGAATACCGATGGTGCTTGTCTGGTACACCTATGCAGAACAACCTCGATGAACTCCAGTCCCTTGTCAAATTTCTCCGCATTCGACCTTACGACGATCTCAAGGAGTGGAAGGAGCATATTGATCTACCCCTGAAGAATGGCCGCGGTCACATCGCCATCCGCAGACTACACAGTCTTCTCCGATGCTTCATGAAGCGAAGAACCAAAGAAATTCTCAAGGAAGCTGGAGCACTTAACCCTGGTGGTAAGCCTTCCGCCGAGGGTGAGGGGTCCTCAACAGGCTTCAAGGTCACAGAACGAAAGGTTGTTACTATATCGACTGCATTGTCACCTGCAGAGCGCAAGTTCTACGATCGATTAGCTGCTCGGGCAGACCGAAGTATCGAGCAGATGATGCAAGGCAAAGTCAACTACGCCAACGCTTTGACTCTGCTGCTCCGCCTACGTCAGGCCTGCAATCATCCCAAACTGGTTGAGGGCAAGCTGGAGAAGGACAAAGACGCAATGTCTACAGACGCTACCCAGAAGACCCAGGATACGGACATTGATGCCATGGCTGACATGTTCGCTGGTATGGGCATCGTTTCTAGGGACTGTAATATTTGTGGGCGAGGCTTGAGTCACGATAAGTCAGGCAAAGACATCTGCTCTGACTGCTACGATGACCTAGCATATTTCAACAACCACGAAAGGCCAGAGCGGTCAGAGCGACCCAAGAAGTCCAAGAAGCCCAAGGATAAGAGCAGGAAGAAAGACAAGAAGGAGGAAACTGTTGACGAAAAAGTCATTGACAGGCAAATTGTTGAAGTTGATGATGATGAAGATGACGACGACGAGTCCCCTAAGAAGACCTCGGGGCGACCTCACCACCGAAACACGGTAGTTGACAGTGATGACGAGGACGCAGAGTCCCCAAAGAAGACAGCTCGCCAGCCTCGGAATCGCAACGCCATCGTTGACAGCGATGATGAGGAAGAAGAGGCGGAAGGCTCATGGCTTGTGCCCGAGGATCAGCGGGGCTCCCTACATCTGGGAGAGGCTGGTGGCGAAGAAGATGAGAATGCCGAGGGCGGAGGCGACTGGATTGGCTCCGATGACTCAGAAGATGAAGAGAGTAAGGTTGAAGACAAGAGCAACTTGAGCAGCTTCATTGAGAACGACGAGAGTAAAGGGGGCGTGGCTTCTGACTCTGATGACTCCTTGGCGTCATTGACAGATATCACAAAGCGCATGGCTGCCCAGACGCTGTACGATGGGCCGTCTCACGCAGCTGACACCACAAATGCAGGCACAGATGCTGATACTACGACCGCCGATACTACGGCTGCTGATACGACAGCTGTTTCTGGATTATCAGCCTCGGATTCGGGATCTGACTCTGGCTCTGATTCTGACTCTGATGAATCAGATGTCTCGTCTGAAGAAGACGATAGTATTTTCCATCCGTCCCGCGATCCCAAGTCGCCTCAAGTTCTCGCTTCTTCCAAGATTCGAGAGCTCATCAAGATTCTTCAGGGCGAAGTCAAGGAGCACAAGTTCATCGTCTTCTCCCAGTTCACTTCTATGCTTGATCTTGTTGAGCCCTTCTTCCGCAAGGAACGGTTCCGCTTTGTCCGTTATGATGGCAGCATGAAGAACGATCAGCGCGAAGAAAGCCTACGAAAGTTAAGGGGCGATCCTCAGACCCGCATCCTGCTGTGTAGTTTGAAGTGCGGTAGTTTAGGACTCAACCTCACGGCAGCGACCCGAGTTGTCATCCTCGAGCCCTTCTGGAACCCAGTATGTTCTCCTATTCTTAATCCCCTTTCCATATAACGATGCTAACTTCTTTGCTAGTTTGTCGAAGAACAGGCCATTGATCGTGTCCATCGTCTGACCCAGACAGTCGATGTGATCATCTACAAGCTCACAGTCGCTCAGACTGTCGAGGAGCGTATCCTTGAGCTGCAGGAGAAGAAGCGCGAGCTGGCCGAGCAGGCCATCGAGGGTGGCATGCGTAAGGAGGCTCTCAAGCTCGGCATCAATGAGATCATCAACCTCTTCAAGCCAGGATCTTCGGAGAACCCAGTTGTTATTGGCGCTGATCCCTCCGCTGTCGGCAACGAGAGCTTCAATGGCAACGAACGTAGAACTGCGGCTTCGTCGCAGAGACGGCCAGGGCGGCCTAGAAAGGAAGAGAGTGAGGTGTATGGTCGACGATGGTAAAGCAATTGCTTGCTGTAGACATTGACGATGAGATGGTCATGGTTGGAAAAGGTGTTTAAGAAGGCTCAGGATTTATGACATGGCGCAATGAATTATTCTTTTATTTTGGCATTAGCGATATTGTTTTGTTAACTCGCATGTCCTGACCAGATAACAGATCGGACAATATTATCTACATTTTTAATCAACTGATCTGCTCATTGCTCATGAGAATTATGCTCATCCTGTGCCTCATTGCACTCCAGCCGAGACATGCATGTCACGGCCTGGCACCCTGAATGCATCTGAAGTCTTTTTATCTTTTCCGATCTCTATGGCTCTCATCTACATGTTTCTGAGAATGTTGCCGAGACCCTTGAGCTTTCTCAAGGGAGCTCCATAGCCCAGCTCCACAACACCATGTGTGAACTTCCAGCTATCGGGCTGGCTCTTGATAGGGTACTGTACTGGGGGAGGGATACCAGTGCGGATGCCCAGCCAGCCAAAGCGGTCCTCACAAATGGCCTTCATGTTGCAGAGTCCGCGTAGACCTTCTTCGCCTGCAAAGCGGCCGTAACCAGAGCCACCAACACCACCAAAGGGCAACTGGACGGCGTAGTAGACGGCGAAGTCATTGACGGCGACCATGCCGGCGCGGAGGCCCTTGACGATGGGCTGCAAGTTAGGATCACGCTCGGAACCGTGAACAGAGGCACCGAGGCCAAAGTTGGGGGCGTTAGCAATGGCGAGGATATCTTCAGGGGATGATGACTTGGCGCGGAGCAGGGTAAGAACAGGAGCGAAGCACTCATTTTGTGCAATACGCATGTCGGGGGTAACGTCGGCGAGGAAAGTTGGCTGGAAATAGTGGCCAGTGGGATATTCAGGATGGTTGTAGCGTTTGCCACCAGCAAGGAGACGGGCTCCTTGGGCGACAGCCTCAGCGATGAGTTCCTCGAGGCGGTCAAAGGAGGCGTCAGAGATCATGGCACCGACATCGGCCTCAGGGCCCAGGCGTAAAGCGTTGACACGAGGAGCAAGCATTTCGACAAGCTTATCATGAATTGCACGAGGGGCGATGACTCTCTCGATACCAATACAGTTCTGGCCGGCGGCTTGAAAGGTTCCGCGGAGAATGACTTCGGCGATGCGCTTGAGGTCTCGAGAAGCAGAGTCGAGAATAATGAAGGGGTCCTTGCCACCAAGCTCTGCGACAACAGGAGTAAGGCTCTTGGCCGCGCTAGCAGCAACATGATGGGCGACAGACTGAGAACCGATAAAGGTGATGTGACTGATACCAGGATGTGAAGTAAGATGGCCGGCGGTTTGAGGCCAGCATACGACAGTCTGAACAAGCTGAGGATCATGACCATGGGCGAGGAGAGCGCCACGAGCGATGTTGGTGAAGTACTGGCTAGACCAAGCAGTCTGCTCAGAAACCTTGACAAGAATACCGTTACCAGAGAAGAGGGCGCTGATGACGGGGCCGATGAAGTTGTGGAAGGGATAGTTCCAGCTGACAAGAGCAGCAACAACACCAAGAGGTTCATAGTGGACAGTGTTGCGCTTGTACATCATGAGAAAGTTGGTAGGACGACGAGATGGCCGCAGCGCAGCTTCACCATGGTCGAGAGTCCACTTGAGCTTCTCAGCTGTGACAAGAATCTCTCCCAACTGAGCATCCACCATAGTCTTTCCGCTGTCCAAGCAAGCAATCTTGACAATGTCCTCGGCATTGTCGAGAACGTGCTGCAGCAGCGAGCGCAGCACAGCCCGGCGTTCCTCGAAGGTTGTCTCAGCCCATACCTTCTGCGCAGCCGCGGCGGCGACAACCGCTCGATCCATAGCAGCAGGTGTAGAAGGATTGATTTGTCCCAGGAACTGGCCAGTAGCTGGTGCATAGCATTGAACGGCTGAGCTGCCAGAGACCCTGACTGAAGGGGCATCGACGGTGGAGTAAGGCTCGGGGATCTTGGGCGCGGGAACGGTAAACTTGCGAGGACGACCGGTGGCTGCTTTGATAGAGGCTGTAGCGATAGCGTTTGTGAGGCGGAGAATTAGAGTTGCAACGACAATGGCAGCGACTGTCCCGACGGCAGAGACTGTAGATTGCCTGTGAGGAGTGAATTAGCTTTAGGTCATGATCAATGGGCTCGTTGCTAAAGGATAGCATGACATGACATAACATAACGTACGAGATGTTGTGCTCTGCAGCAAACTCATTGCACCTCCGCCAAGCGGTGAGGAGCAATGGTTCTTGACTATCCATTGCAGATTCTGACATGATCAATTCGTCTCTTCCGCAGAAATTGTACGTCCCCTTTATATCATGCGACAGCTAGAGATGGTTCAAGTCGGATGGTGGGTGTGTTATTTAAAGTGGGAGGGATTAGGTACGTACCGGGCCTAGTTTCAGGGACCTTCCATTCACTGTTCCTGCCAAGCCTTGACCGCCAAGGGAAACGACCCGCCGTATTCGTACTCGCCCCTGAATGTGACTGTGAGGCTCATCAACTCGAATCATAAAGCAACATCAGACCAGACCACAAAGAATGAGTGTCATATAAAGTCACCACCACCAGCATCAAGGGACTCGGATTCGGATTCGAACTTGAGATTGAATTTGCATATCGTCTTATTGATTTTCGTCTCTGGTCTCCAAAAGGAGATGACAACCTGATTATATAACCGCTTTCTTATTTACAGCAACAACACTGCTGTCTTCTCCCACTCTTTCTGTCCGTCTGTCTTCTGTCTTTCTTTGCTCTGTCTTTCAAGCTCGCTTCCTCACCTGTGACATCCTCTCCAGCCTCAACCAGCCCGTCTCCTCGTCTCGCTATTCTCCCTCCCTCTCTTCGACAGCGCAATAATGAAATGTATCTTCGTCAGAGAATGGGTTTGCTGCTTTCCAGCTCTAAGGATGCTAAAAAGAAAAGTGTGAAACAACATGGGAGATGAAGGAAGACTAAAAGTGATAGTACCGAAGCCACCAAAGAATCAAATCAATTCATACAAGAAAACAAGAAACCCCTTTTGCATTTCCCCTAATAACGCCCTGCGTGTGTAAAAGCAAACCTCCTAGCTCAATACAGTTGAAGCATAGGGGGTATTATAAAATAGATAAAAAACCAATTCGACCTCGTTGCCTTCGTTGCGTGCTAAAGCGCATGAGCATACAAAGACCGCGGAAAGCAACTCATAGATCGCTCATGCTGATCGTAAGTGCATCACTGGCCGTCTGAGGCCTGGGATATCAAAAGCAAGGAAAGGTCGAAAGAAACAAAACTCGGCATCGGGTCCGGAGAGCCGTGTCGTCGGCAATAGTCGAGTTGGGCATCGTGTACAGCGAGATGCAAAGAGCCGGAATCATATGTTGGCACTCTTAGTCAACGAAAGTCCTCGAAGTCGAGGGCGGAATCGACCTCCTTGCGATTGACTCGACTCGATCCTTGAGAGTCGGGCTGCCGATGTGAAGTCGTTGCTGGCTTCAAAGCTGGGTCTCACCCTGTCCATCGAGGCTCGCATACGGTCGTATGATGGTCGTGCTCGGTCAATCGATGGCCGGGCTTGCATTGGTACATCCAACGATATGCGATGCGCCGTGTAATTGGTCGAGTCGCTGCCATTTTGGCTGTGTTGATTATATGTCGTGGTTCGTGTTGCTGTTGACGGAGGGTAAATAGGCCGTAGATCCTCATCGACACTTCCATAAGCCACGTGCTTGGGCATCTTCTTTGACCTCCTTGAGCTCTTGGATGACTTGGACTTATCACTCTTGGTGTCTGCAGTGAGAGGATCACTGGTCTCTTCAGCCTGGTAGAGGTGTGCGAATTTACCCATTCGTTCCTGCTCACGAATGATGTCGACATCGTAAGGCCAGTACACTTTCTGAAGAGCCTTGATAGCAAATCGTGGGAAGAGGCATATGACAGGTACAAGGAAGAAACATGCCCAGAAGGTTGCCTCTCCATATACCTGTGCAGCAGTACCATAGAAGAATGCCGACGAGGTGAAGGAAGTGTACACTCCAGTCCAGAAGAAGATGAATACATCAGAGATGACAACAATGAGCACCATCAACCAATCCCAGCGATAGGTGTTGATCAGAATGTACATGTTGATCGTGATGACGGCGGGGTGAGCAACATAGGCGCCAAAGCGAAGACGGTCCTCGACGCCCAGACCGTTGCCAGTCAAGAAGGTACCAGGCATAAACAGAAGGTACGGAATGAAAAAAACCATGATGGACTGATAAACACCATCAATCATGTAGAGCCTTTAGCAGAGTTAGCACAGAGCATCGATATCAAGGACAGCTTACTTACCAGAACTTGAGCTGGGTCCACTCCAGTCGCTCGATACCTCGTCGGTAGAGCTGAGGAACAGCCAACGATACCTTGTCAGACACGTCCTGATCCAGAACACCCATAATAGCGACAGGGACCGAAGTGAAGAAGAGGTTGAACATGAGAATATACGTGTAGTCGAAGAGATAGGTCATATCCATGTCACAATAGATCTCGTACCAGAAAATGGAGAAGGTCCACACCATGTTCTTGTAAAAGAAATTGCTGATACTCTCTGCCAGACGCCGGTACGACCATCGACCATGGACAAGCACCAGTCTCTGAAGGAATCGGAATTGAGCAATAGCATAGTCAGAAGACATGGCTGCTTGACGGCCTTCGACACCAGCAATACCGACACCAACATCGGCTTCCTGAATCATGGCAACATCGTTGGCACCGTCACCAATGGAAAGAGTCATGACATCGAGACCGTTCTTGACCATAGCCACAACGGCAGCCTTCTGCGCGGGACTGACTCGACAACAGAGAACCGACTTGCACTGCTTACAGAGCAGGAGAAACTTTTGCTTTAGGCGATCGTTGAGTACCCATCGGAGTGTGAAACCATCGATGACAAGTCCGTGGGTTGGGGCGGGTGGTTCGTGGTTCTTCTTGGCAAGCGCGAGATCATGGTCGCTACCAGTAATACCAAAAGTCTGAAGGTTGTCGTCTAATAGTCTTTCTGCCATATCAAAGAAGGTCTCGTCGGTGATCTCACCTGTCTCGTCCTCGTCGACCTTAAGGTGAATCAATTCCATGTCATTGTTGAGAAGGTTACAAGAGAAGCCGATGTTAATTGCAGTCTCAACTTTGTCGCCAGTGAGAACCCAAAGCTTGATGCCAGCATTACCCAAGAGAGCGATTGTGTCGGGGACACCATCTTGTAAACGATCCTCGATGGCGGTACCACCAATAAGGTAAAGATCTTGTTCAATCAGCTCGGCCACTGATTCCAGCTTCTCTTCCCGCTCTTCGAGGGCAGAAGCAGCTGCATCGTGCTCTTTCTTCCAAGCTCGGTAGTCCTGCTCGGAAACTTCCTTGTGGGCAATACACAGTGTTCGAAGACCTTCCCGGGCAAACATTTCGAGATGCTCAGCAGTTGTCTTTCTGAGCTCCTTCTGTTCGCCTCGTTTAAGGCGGGAGTAGATGATGCTGTCTGCACCTTTGCAGAAGAGAACAATGCGACCATCAGGCATCCGGACAATTGAACTCATTCGCTTTCGACTAGAGTTGAATTCAAGCGTATTAAGAATTTGATAATGTCGGTCCTGACCCATGACGTTCAGATTGATGCCTTCACCAGAGCTTCCGAGAACAGTGAAACCCATATCACGAGCAGTAGCAACCAAGGCTTCTTCATCTGGCGACTGCGCCTTGAAAATCATTTTTGGTTTGTCACCATCAACCTTCTCAGCCATCACAGTATGACAGAGAGCCAGGGCTAGCATGAAATACTCATTGGCTGCCTGCTGCTCGGGGCCTGACTCGCCAGCGAGATCGGAAACGAAATCAGGAGCAATGAATGTCAAAGCCTCGTCGTGAAGATATGGATTGTCGTGAATTTTGCGAAGACCAGCAAGCGCCCGGACCTTGGCGTCAGCAATCTCGGCGCGAACCCTCTCTCCTTCCTTCTCAACATCAATGCCAAGTCGCTTTTGCATTCCTGCCTGAGCTTCCGTGTAAGCTTCTCCATAGGGCTGTCCATTGATCGTTGCCTTCTTGAACTCCATGACGTTTTGTGTGAGAGTACCGGTTTTGTCGGAAAAGATGTATTCTATTTGGCCAACATCGTCCGAAATATTCCATGACTTGGGAATGCACGGTTGATCGATTGGTTCATAGTACATCTCCACATCGCTGTAAATAAAGATAGCCTGCAAGGTTCGCACAATTTCCAGGGTGATATAGAGCGAAATAGGCACCAAGTTCTGGAACAGAATAATGGCAGCCCAGAAAGTGATAAATCCGCTCATAGCCGGTTTGCCACCAATGGATCCGAAGTCGAAGAAGTGAAGAGACGCATCTGTCTTTGCCCATGCCACGCCGTTTATTATAGCGGCGAGCAAACACATGATAAGCAAGATACCAAAGTTACACACGACATTGAAGTTCATCTCTCGAGCAATGCGAGCACGCTTACTAGGAGTGATACCAGCGTTCATCATGATTTTGGTGTCATGTCCGGTATACACAACTACACCGACAATCCACTCAGTATTCCGGAGGTTGCATCCACGTAGGAGGAGGTTGTCTATGGTGATAGGTTCCGTCATATCCTCGGGTTCTTCGTCGAGGTAGCCGGGGACATTCTGCTTCCACTTGATGGCGCCGTTATACTTGTAGAGGTTTGGTTGAGGTCCTTCGCTTTCGATCACAAACTCTGCACGTTCGCAGTCTCTAGCATGCTTTAGACCTCGGCCGCAACGTAAAGCCTGGCGGACTTTCAGGTTAGTTTCGCCGTCCAGATTCTTGGTTTCGACATAGCAACCTCCATCAGGATCGGAGGTAGATAGGATGATGACATCTGCGGGCAATTCTTCGTCATTATATATACGAACGAAATCGCCAACGACGAGACTCTTCCAGGTATCCTTTTGAAATCGGGCACCGGATGGGGGATGGTTGTAGTTGATGACATCAGACTTCATCTGCGATAAAGCTGCTGCGCGCTTGGCATCTTGCTGGTCGGGCATCTCAAATTGTGCAGGCGTGGCCTGAGGTGAGGGCGATGGAACAGGGGTCATCTGGATGTCCTCTCGGGCAGACATGAAGGACTCGCGGCCGGTGAAAGGCGATGCAATGGACTGTCGCATGGACTGACGAGTTCGGTGCGTCTCAACTGAAGGCCGAGGCGCATCCTCCTCCGCAGGGCCGGCCTTGCGCTTTGCCCTCTCCTCCTTCGCCTTCTTGGACCACAGAGATTGAGTTGCTCGCCAAATAGAACCGAAGAATTTCGAGTTGGCCTTCTTGAATTGACGCCACATGGAAACGTCACCCTCCATAACATTGACGTTGTTCCAGTTTCGTAATCGGTGGACAGGAGCATTGTTAAGTTCGATGTCGAGAATAGTTCGTCGATAGTCTTCGATGGCATCCTTGATAGCAGTTACTGCAATAATGAAAATCAACGGAACGGCGTTGAGACCTGGATTGACGCCACCAAAAATGGGAAAGATCTATTTAAAAGGTTAAGGGTGACTCGCGGGAGTAAAGGGGGGCGGATGGTTAACTTACAACCAGGATAACCAAGAACAAGAAGAATATATTAGCAACATTGTGAAATTGGAACCACAAGTTTTTAGGAACGAATGATAGAGGCGTATATTTGGCTGTTCGGATTTTATTTCGTGTGAAGACTTGAGTGGGATGGCCGTTCTCATCCAAAAGCTCTTCAGGCAGTGGCTGGTTAAAGAACAAGGTGCGGTTCTCGTGATCTTCGTCCTCCTCACCACCATTCTGGTCTTCGGGGTTCGCTTGGGGCGGTTGGCCATCATCACCGTGAGCGTCGGATCCGTCGGAGGGGGGGTTCTTCTCATTGGAACCTGTCTTCTTATGTCCCATACGTTCGAGCAGAGAATTGCGTTTGTTGTTACTACTGTTGACACTCTTTCTTTGTGTGGCCCATCGCGATCTTTGGGTAGCACTGAGGGCCTGCGGATCAAGGTGGCCGTCAGAGGTTGTTGTTGTGGTCATGATGAAGTCGCGGGCAAGCGCCCGATCGGCCCCTCGATGCCAGCCAGATTGGGGAAACTGAAGAAGTCCAAGTCGGAGTCGAGAGAAGCGAGAGGCGTCTGATTAAGCGTATATGGTACAGAGTCGAAGTGAATGGAGCAGGTGCAATTGAAGCAACACCAGCTGCTCGTCAAAGATTACTATTGGCGGCGACAATGTGATAAAGTCGAGTTTGAAACGGCTTCGCCAGGACCGTTTGAAGATCGTCGAAACGGTACAAGAAGGTGAACGTGGAGAGAGTAAAGGTAAGGTTGTTGATGGTCGAGATGGGACTGACGAGAAGAACGGGCTGGCTGGAAGAAGGTACGGTACAAGGGGAATTGAATTGTGTAAGCAAAGGCAATGGGCGATGGAAAGAACGGGGCGGCAAGGGAAAAAAGCTACGGTGGACTTTGGAGAGACGAGAGACCCTCCCCGGGCCCCGTCCCGTCCGCCAGTTAAAGTGAGTGGCTGCCAGAGAGCCTGAGACTCTAGCACTCTGGGATGGCCATTTCTGGGTGGTACCCGCTCGAGACAAGCGCTGGGACTTGCTGACGAGCGCTGCTGAAGGGAAATGGGCAGTGGAGAGTGGGTGTCGGGGGCGTGGGTCGCAGGCTTTCCTGTGGGTGGGTGTGCGTGGGGAGTCTTGATCCCGGCCCATCCGACGCACTCTTTCATCTGCCCGGAATGTACCCCCTAAGTACTCATGGATCTGCTCCTCCACTGCATACAGAGTACTAAGGTACAGATTGGATCCTGTGGATGCTTGCATTGGGATTCTCACGATTGCGATGCGCTGTCTCGCATTGTGTACTAACCGATGCCTAGCAGCTAAGCTTCTTTGCAGTGCTTACATACCTACCTATACTCTACCTTGCCTTGAAAGCCTCGACAAGGCGGTGTTGTCGCATTGCTGGTATACATTCAATGTCATTATCCATTAATTAAACCGCATCACGAACAAAGTGTCTTCTACTCATCGGGCTCTAGGCGTAACACGGTACTTGCGGGCATCTGTCATACCTCACATGCCGATTGAACTTAGTACTGTACTCCCTGGTTCTCGTCATGATAGTTTCTCAGCGGTACGGATAGGCAACGGTCAAAATCCAATGGAACCTATGGATCTCCCGCCTCCCAGCGACCTGTAGAGCCTACTAACGCCGGCGCCACGGTTCTAACTTAAGTCGCCGGGAATTTCGACGGTGTTGTACTGCTCTCAGCAGCTAGGTAGGCGGTAGAACTATCTTGGTCTAACGTGGATAGATCAGTCATACCTCAGCCCTGGGAACACGGGCGGCTCCCTCGGGCATTCAATGCGTGCGTCTCGCGGCGTAGTCGGCCGCTACATATCTCCGACACTCCTGGTTTTTTTTTTATTCAACGTTTGGAGTTGGAAAGGATGAGAAACTCCAAAAGAGTTAGCCAGGGGTCTATTTATTTATGTCAACACGACCACAACACAACCAACTGCGCTGCAACGGTTTCCTAGTACTAAACATGCACTGAACACTTCCACTATATCTGCATCTTTCTAGGAACTCCGTGACCTAGCTTCGAATAAATCACTCCGCCCTTTGTGAGCTTTGTTAATACGGAGTAGCTTGCTGCGATCTATTGCTGCATACGCCTCCAGCTGGCATTTACTGCCCCCTTGAAAAATCAACCAGCCAACCCCTTGCAAAGGGGGAAACTTACAATAGGTCGCGCCTAAGATTTGCCAAGGATATAATCAAGTCAGTCACGACCCTGGGTATCCGATGCGTGCTTTCTGTCAAGATTCGTTAGTCTCGTACGAACCATCGTGAGTTTTGAGGGTTTTGAGTACCCGAACTTTATGTATACCTATGTCCATGGATGGAAGCTCCGGCTCCGTCGCCTCCGTGGATGGACTCCGCATACGGACATTTCACAAACCCTTCCGGCCGTGACCATTGTCATCGCAACCAAAGATATCGATAGCGCACATCTTAAAAATCAGATAAGCTTCTATTCGTTGTAGCCATCACGACTAGTCCCTAAGGGTCAAATATGGTGGCTACTTGTCGAGACCGTCATCAATGGCTTTGAATTCCCTTTGGATCATGTAAACCGAAAAAGGGCGGGGTTCCTCTGAGTACCACCCTTGGTAAATTGTCGACTCTTTTGATCCTCACCGCGTTGGCGACCCTGGACAATCGACCGTAAATAAGTAGATGATTGCAAGCGGTGACTGCACAAATCTCCTGACGAGGGGTCAGGGGATGGCTGCACAATATGTACTGTACCAGCATAGTAGTAGGTAATCAGAACAGAAGATACCTAGGTAGGTAGCAAGTTCTCCAGGAAACTTGTAGGTAGCAGTTGCAATGTTTCAAGACGGGATCCTCCACTCTTTTATTTACCTACTATCCAACCTTGCGTGATGATCTCAATGGTCGCTTGGCGGCATCAAGATCCGGTTTCGCCTCGTCCTCCTTTATTGATGTACAATACCACGCTGTAACGAAGATCCAAGACTGCTTTCTTCATTTACGAGAATACTTACTGTCAAAAGTGCGAGAAGGGGAGGGTTATTCCTGGTAGAGAGGCACTTGACAGCCTCATAAACAACCGAGGAACAAGCTTCGACCAGATCTTCACGTCCCTGCCTCGCAGAGACAGGACCAGCAAGGTTAAGGTATTACTGTATACTGTATGTAGGATGAGCCCCACGTTGCTTCAATGAATGAATGAATGAAAATCAACCCCTCATTGGACAGACCTTAGTCGTTGTCTTTTTTGTTTATTTTGTTCCGTTTCCTTTCCTTATCCGCTGCGTCCTATGTTTATTTATTTACTTACCTAGGTACTCTAATATCTAGGTACATTCAGTTCTAACTATTAGATGCCTCTTGGCTGCAAGGCATCCCGGGGTTATACGAGCGCCTTCCTCTCTTGGATGGAAATATAACTTGTCTGTAAACCTCCGCAGGTCCCGTTATGTCCAGATTTTACCTCCGCATTGTCGGGTTCACGGACTTTGCTTACGAGCGAGGAAAAGCGCCACGATATTTCTCCGCCGTCATCCAATGGGACTAACTCATAAGCAGATGCAGACATGACGGATGAATAAAGCAGCATCGGTCGGTCACTTGTAATCAACGGACCGGGCTTACAAACACAGCGGGGTCTACCACTTTCACGGAGCCCATGGAATTAACACATTGCGGTGCTGAGTGCGGCGTTGCCGTGCCTCGAAAAAAGCTATGAACCTAGCCTGGGATGCCAAAAAAGATTGGTATAAAAGCTAATAGAGTCTCTGTCGACTTTGCCCAATCGTTTTTGTCACCTAGAACAGAGATTACAAGTTTTCTTGCCTCTTTTCACGTTAGACGTGCTGCACCACAGGTGACGGATTGCGGTTCCACTTGGTTAGTAGAGATTCGCCATCAAATCTAGGTATCCAATGTTTCATCATTCAGCCTGACTTCAAGCTCAATTTGATCAAGCCCAGGTAGGTGTTGGAGATGTCTTTTTTTTCACGTCTGTGTTATTCCCGTATGAGGATTGACGGGAACACAAAATACACGCTCTGTACGAAGCACTTTGTTTCTTACAGTGCTACATTGCACTAACTCAATTGCCCTGATTGCTGCACTGTCCTATCCGACCATTGAAAACCGTGGATGCTTAGCTTGGCTTTCTTACCATTGCATTGTCCTTGGGTAAGGTACATGCAAGTAACAACAGAGACCCATTGTCCCCCTGTCTTGAAGCCATGTTAGCTCAGCGCCGCTCAGGAACGCGAGTGACCTTTGCTCCTTGTTTCGTCAACTGGAGAGGACCCTTGCTAGGGGTCTCCTCTCCTGAGCCTACCATCTGCAGGTCCAAATTTCCAGTGACAGGACTCCCCAGGGGTTGCCAAATATCACGGGTAGAACTAGATCGCCAAGATCATGTCGACTGGTTGAAATCATCTATGTACCTCATGATCGCGGTCGTAAATTTCAAGAATGATAAAATGTCATCGCCTCTGTTAGTTCGTTTTGTTTGTACGACATATAACCATCCGCTCGTAACACCTGAGTCAAACGGTCAACCTTTAATTCTTAATCTGGTGCATTTTTATCAACCCAAGGACTGCCCAGGCTAGAGAGATGGAAGGATCCATAATGATCCATCACTTCTGATCCAACCCTTCAGAAGCAAAGAATGGAACGCGCCGAGCTGGGCTGTGCTGCGTCAGCCTCGGATTGGACGTCTGAGACCGGCTCGCAAATGACCCACTGTCGTATTCAGGCGTCATCATCTAACAAGAAGCAGTATGTATAACAATAACCTGAGCCCTGGACTCCTGTCAGGCTCGGATGCCGAAACCATGTCTATCTCAGCTTACACATAGTCAGCTTGGAGCCTTGGGCGTGTTAGACCTGTTCCTTCAACAGCTTCATTACCTACACCAACATCGACGTTGCACTAAACCAATGCCGAACGAAATAAGGTCCAAGTCAACGTCTTGGGGTTGCATACCAGACACAACCTTCCAACCCCCGATTTCAATACTGCACTATGATTTGTGCAGTAATAAGAGACGAAATGCTGGAATGAACGCAGACTCCATTTCTGACGATCGTTCCCCAGCGTTCTCGGCGGTGTTGGCATTAAACGCATAATGAACCCCTTTTCTCGACCACGGTCTGCATGGACGAAACACCCATATGTCGTTGATAGATTATGAGGCTTGATCCCGCACACGCCGCGTATCTTGGAGCACGAACCAGTGAGCTAAAAACAACAGCATTACGTCTGCATCGTGATAAAGGCCTGGTCAATGCTGAGAACTAGAAGACCGATGCCCAAGAGGGGACTCTTCTGGAAACTCTAGTGTAGAGAAAGGGGGCCACAGGCCAAGAAGTATCCCCATTCCTTTTAGCCGCCCATTTGGTAGAGCGCCACATCTAGAAATGGTTACATCTGTAAGGCGAAGTCTGTCAGCGGCCAAGATGCAACCTGTAACTTCT